AGGAAAACTACCAAGCCAAGAGAGCACTAAGGACCCTCCCACAAGTCCTCCTTCCCCCCTTCTCCCCCTCCTAGTCCTCCCCCTCTCCATAAACCCCACTCCTTTCCAGCACTGATGATGTTACCTAATTGGGTAATGAAACGTCTGCCACAAAACCGCCAAGCTCAGAGAGAACCAAGGACCCCACATGGATTCCTGAATCGTTGTAGATGAGAAAAGGGTGACTACTGAGAGAAGAGATGTCCAAAGTGGGGAAAAGGTGTCACAGAAAACTCCATCACCGGGAGCAACCCTTCCTCCTCCTCTTGCTTGGAGAGAGTCGGCTGAGAAATGCAGTTGAGAGGAATTCGAAAGAATTCTCAAGCTGCCTGGGAATAAAGCGGAAAAACAGAAGCCCCGATTTATTTTATGTTTTTTATACCAGGGAAGGAAACTTCTAAGAGTCTATAACAACATCCGTCGGCACCCTTGCGTTGTGATGGGACTGGTTACTCTGGCACCCTTGGCCTGGCCCAATGGAGGGTCTGTTTGCCCTCCCAATTTTACCCAGCTTTGTACCAATCTTGCCAAACTCCAAAGAGATTTTGTAACCCGTCACCGGGAAAATAACTCTTTCCCCTCCCATCTGCAAAACCCCAACTAGCTGCGGGGTGTCTTTTGTTCCTGGGGGAAGACTGTGGAGGGCAGCGGGGAGGGGGAAAAAAAAGACCTCACCCCATCTGCCTTTAACTTCGAGGTTGCTCCAACAGCCCATCCCCGCCTCCATGTTAATCTGTTAAGTGGCCGGCCCCTGGGACCCCTCCCGGTTGCCACTGCAGATATGTGGCGCGATGTCCCCCGAGGTCTGGCAGCGCGGCTCAGCTTTGGAGCTGGCATGCTGGCGTGACTTCACTCTGCGTCCCCCAGGATATGAGATCATGAGAATGCCGAAGTTCTCCCTGAGCTTCGGTGCGTTCAGCGGGTAAGAACAGCCTCCGAATGATCTCATCTGGGCGGGGAGGTGGAGGGTGGGGGGAGAAAACAGGAGAAACTGGCAGGGCCCGTGGCTGCTCTTCTCCTGGCCCCTAAGG